ATGGACAGGTTTAGTCCTACTGTTTTATGAGTCACATGTGACAATGGATAGCTTTCAGTCATACTATTATATAAGTCACATGTGACAATGGACAGGTTTTAGTCCTACTGTTATATGAGTCACATGTGACAATGGACAGGTTTTAGTCCTACTGTTATATAAGCTATTTTATCCATTTGTATTTATCTTTTCATTTTACAATTGAAAGCTTTAAAAAAAAGATGTTATAAGTTTTTAAAGAAACAATTTTATTTGCTTAAATGCTTGTGAGATTCAAAAGGAACAAAGTTATATTTTCATCTTTTTTTACACTATGCTAGCTTAATACTTTTTGAGAAAGATTTTAAATATGACAATAATAGAGACCCACATGTTTTACATTTTCTTCTTTTCACATATTTCCTTTGATGTTTTTTAATCAATTATACCCCTGAGTTATCCATAATTCATCAATAAAACCCATTTCTTTTATCTGAAAGTTTGTACAACCATTGAGATCAAACTGTCCATTCAGTGTGAATTTTGTCCATTAATAAGACATTTTTCTGAAACAGAATCTGAAGTGAATCTATGCTGTAGTGATGATGGACAATAGTTCTGACCCGTGGCTGTACTTCTGTGTTCAAGTATTTTGAGAGTGGTCAATAGTGTAAACAATGATCAAGGAGTTCAACAAATGGCAATTTTTCTGGTGTTTCCATTAAAAATGTCTCATTACTGTCCATCTGTCCATCTAAAACCAAGTCTGGTCATCTATATGGATTGTAAAACTAATTCCAGTCTGGATAATTGTTTCATTTTAATGATTGTCTATATACTCACTGTCAACATGACATATCTGACTAGATGGTTTGGCAATTAATTAATTTTAAAGAAATATTAAATATGTAAGCCTGAAAATTTAAATCTGTTGGTCAATTGGACACAGATATTATATATATTCATACTTTTAGACATTATTTATTTTCTCTTATAATTAAAAGAAAATGACCAAATGGACATTAGAAATTAAGGTGTAGAAAATAATAAATACCGATGTTATTACTAATTGTTAAATAAAAATTATAACTATTTAAAAATGATTTGAAATGACCAAGGATTTGTATAGTGACTGTACAAATCCTTGAAATTACTAAAAATTAAAAGAGGTTTGATTTTTCAATTTCTTTTTAATCAATTATTGTTCTTATATAAAAGAAAATTTATGTGATTTTATTTATATAAAAGAGCTTGATCTGACAAACAAATAAATATACTTAGGTGGAATGAAAGAAATTTCATGTAAAACATGCTGATGGTAATTTTCTCCATTTTAAGCATGTAATTAGAAGAATAAAACAATAAAGACACATCAATTGTTTTAACAGCAGGTGACCCCGACATCTGTTACCTGAGGAACAACATATGTTCCTTTGTTAGATAATAATACTATCTGTTTGGAAGTTAAGTACTATTTCTAAAGATAATAGTCAAAATATGGAATATGAAAAAATTGTTTTTATAAGAACAATTTTGTTGTTGTAATGGTTTACAAGTAACAATGGTGTCTGCAAATTGCAAATTGTATGATCACAAAATTATGTTAATAAACTATTCCTTATTCTCCTAAGAACAATCTATATAAACAATAAAACGCACTTATTTGAGGCTTATATCATATACAATAGCTATATAAAAAGGTAATCACTAATTGAAGGATTATTACCTACAATAACTATACAGAAAGGTATGTTTCTCATTAACAGGTGTTAATCAAACAGGAAGTAGATAAAACTAATATTTGTATCAGTAATTGATACATCAATCAACCTTGTTTATTAATAAATATAGTTATTGATGAGGGTATAGATGGACTGTTTGATAGAGAAAGAGGGTACATCATGGGTACAGTGATTGCACTATCTAATGGCTTAGTACATACTTTTTATTTTATTTTAACTTGAAACGAAATTCTTTCTGAATTCACTTTTAAAAAATCATAATTGTTTGCGAAAATTAATTAAATTTTCACCTGTTGGAAATTTGCATTTGATTTTTTTCCCTAGCAAGCTATTTATTTCATCAGTTGTTGGAGTTAAAATTATCCAAGCTAAATGTTAAAAGCATAGTACCATACGCCAAAGTATTTTAGCATCAAATTAATTTATGTTTCTTCCTGAATGCCCAAGGTTCAGTTTTATCCAGGAGGCATCTTAATTAAGAGGATTGGAAATAAAATTTTGAAAATATATATATCAAATTTTAGTACACATTATTTCTTATTTCTTACTTTAAACTGTTATTATTGTAATGATAATTATTTAATACATGGAGAAATATACTACCCTGATCTGTATCCGTCAAACTCAAAAGGTAACTGAACTTATTCGGTTAAAAAAAGGAGACAGAACAAACCAAAAGGGACCATGTGTCAATCAAAAGTTTGTAAATAAGATAAACTGTTTACCTATGATTATATCAAAATAGCCCCAAGTTTACAAGTATCAATTTGTATCCACACTTCTTTGTTTATCATCTGATAACTAAACACCTGATGTGTTTTTATTTACCTGTAATTTTATTACCTGTCATCTATTCAGCTGTCTAACAGCTGTTAATTCTCTATACATTATTTATTACTGACCAGTTATTGAATACCTAATAATCTCAGTTAAGTCCATAAAGAGAGGTATGTACATGTTACGTGATGTAGGTCTGACTGGCTTGGTTCCAAGGGTAGATCTGAATAACATATTTGTTAAGATTTAAAAAAAATCAAAAGTGCAACAATTAAGTGCACAATTTTTATTTCAAAATTACTAAACAAGTGAGTGATTGAATCTAGGACCCTGGTACAGTGAGCCTTCCCTCTACAAACTAAGCTAAAAGAGTAATCCACTAGTAAAGTGGTGGAACTAGGACAGGGCGCAGAGGGCATTACGCCCCCCTTTGATCTCACGATTTATTTGATTTTTTAGTGTAAAATTGTCCAAAGTAAATTATGCCTAGCCCTGCCCAGTAGTATCTATTTCATTTTATGGAATTACCCCCACCACCCTTATCAAAAATTCCAGATTTCCTGACTAGGGGAGTCATAATGGAGGGCTGTTCAAGAGTTATATCATGAATCTTTATAGCTTAAGAACTCTTTAAATCATTTGTATTTTATAAAACCCTTGTTTTTTTGGTTTGAATGTTGATTGTTACAAGTTTTTTTAAAAGCCATTGTTAAAATTGAACAGATTCCTGACACAGTCTAAAGCCACTTTTCTACCAATTGCGCCAAAGAAGTACTCCACTATTGCAACTAATGCATTGATTGGTTGATGCTTGTTGGAAGTCAAACTGAAAAAACTTTTCATGCAAATTCAGACAAGAACAAATTAATAATTATTTACAATAGGTTAAGGTCCTTCAAAGTAGGCTGTTACTAAGGGTAATATGAAGGGCAGGAAATATGGACTGGGAAATGAGATGTTAGATTATAGGGGCACCAATTTGTCTTGAAACAGGTCACCTACAGACCTTTTATGGTTCTTAATATGTAAAGAGCTTCCCAGGCAACAGCTCATGGAGGACAGGTATATGCATATCTGCAATGGTCAATGGAAACATTGCTACAAATGATATCATAAAAGTCTTGCTAATACAATGGAACCATACCATATCAACAAATAGATTTTTTCTACCATTTAACAGTTATTAAAGCCCTTTAAGATTTTAAATTATGAATACATCAAATCCTTATATGATTGTGCTTTACTCCAATTTTAAGTACAACCTTTTCTAAGCAAAATAAACACCCAAGAACTATTTTAGCCTCAAAACAGAATTATATTAATTCACAAAATATTTAAAGTTTGATAAAAACACAGAAAAGCTATATTTCAAATATAACTGTGTCTTTAATAAACATACAATATAAATATATATTATTTTCTTTTTGTTTTATTAATAACATCAAAACCTTATGCTAGTTATTCATATATTTTTTAATTTATGTTTAGAAATATATATATTATAAGTCAAATCTACCTAAGTATTTCTGTTTACACTAAATATACTCAATTCTAAAACTCCAGTTACTATAATTTCTTTTTCCTGTATAAATATTTTGATGTTTGATTTGTTTGTGGTATATCAAATCAAACATTTATGAAATGCAAGCTGTTGAAAAATCAATATTTTTCCTGATTTAACTTTACGTTCTCTTATCAAACTTTTACCTTCACTTTTCATTGTTAACTGCAGAAAAAAAACTTAGGATCAGTTTTCATCAAAATTATCTTTCACTGAGTGCTTTTCAATTATTACTGAGATCAAAAAGAAAATTGTTTAACATAAATTCGGTCCAACTGTTGCAATAGAGGTAAATTTGGACAGATGTACCTTCTCAAAATACCGCTATTTTAGCCTTCCAGGTGATAACATATTCTCTGATAGATAAATCTCCTACCCTAATCAGATTTCTACAGATAAACCTAAGGTCACAGTCGTGTGCCGGGTGCACCATAGCCACACGCCAGATCTTTTGTTCAATAGATATTAGCTTTCTGATTGGTTGGCAAAGTTTAGAGTCTGCAGAGATAAAATCTCTACAACATGTGGTTTGACAAAAGACCCATTCATCATATAATTACTATCCACGCGCCAGTTTTTATTCAGGTGTGACCATGGCTTTGTTGTCAATCACAATAGGTCATGTGGCCAGAAGATTAAGTTTTGGGGGTTTATTTTTATTCCTATGTAAATAGTCAAGTATAATTCTATTTCCAACTGTCCCGTTCTCTAGACCTTAAACAGATAAAAGGACACTTCAAACGATAAAGTCCATTCTCAAAGACAGGTGGTATTCATCTCTAAGTACTACTCAAGCAATAAATTTTTATTGTTTAAAATTAATATTGTATAGAGAGAAAAACATCTTTTCCATTAGCTCCTCCCCTTTTGGTCACACATGACTAAAATTATCCTTTGATGTGCTAATGAACCAATCAAATATTGGCAAAATTAAAACCCAAAAGGTGAGCAGTGTAGAAATGTCCAGGTGTTGGTATAATACTAATCTGTATAAAGATAAGAAACACAGACTATTTGACAGTCAGTACTTATAGTGAGAGTCAAACTAAGTAGACTAACCACTAGTATCTTAGTTTAGAAAACAAAGACATAAGTTAATATTTGTCGTGGATTATACTGATGCTGAGAGCTACTCATGAAAGTTACTGATATTTCTCAATCCACTTAAAGAGAAATTGACTTCATTTGAAATACATCAATATTTTACAGTTTATTGTATAAAGTGAGAGTTTAAACTGTTTATCAATTTTACTGCAGGTTCAGCGATGATGGAATTATAAATTGATTACTTATAGAATGGCAGACCTTCAGGATTATGTGTTGATTACAGTTGCTTTAATAAACATTTTAATTGTTTTAATTGAAGGTAAGCATTCTTAATTAGTTGTGATTCTCTAATTAGATTAAACATATTTAATTGAAACATTTTCAGCTTGACTTCTGCTTATAACTGATTCCATAAGAAGCTTAAAAGTAACAAAATTTTTTCAGGCTGTTAAAATCTTTTTGCATTAATTACTGCAGCAAAAAATTCTTTTGAACTCAAAAACAAGCAAAAAAATTAACACTTAACAAAGCAATCAGCTTCAGTCTGGTGAAAAATAGGTACATTCATTCCAGGTAGAAAAGTGCACCATCTGCTGCATATAACAATACGTCTCAAGTGCAATATTAAAATGCATTTATCTGTCACAACAAATGCTTAAACATTCTGCCATCTCCTGAATGTAAATAAACAACATCAGCTTACAAAAAAATATTTACAAAAATACTGAACTCCAAGGTAAATTCAAAAAGGAGAAGTTCACAAAAACTGACAAAATCAATGTCTTAAGACTTTATAAACCAATGAATGGAAAACAACTGCGATAATCCTGACATAAGAGATAAATAAGAAAAAAAATATGTTTTTTTAGCTTGCCTTTTTCATACATAAGAAAATTAATAAAAGATAATAACGGTTTCAATTGATCACATTTACTAGCACTTTCACTATAAATTGGTCACATGATTTATTAATATGAACTGGGACTAAATACATTATCTATTATAGTTCCAGATAAAAAAAAAAAAGATATTTTCACATATTTTATATTTTATCCCTGACAACATTGGAGTACTAACATAAATAACCCTTAAAAGGTTTTTTTTAAAGATAGGGCAAATATTTTGACATCTGCTTTTAAAGACAATAAAATTTAACCAAAATTCACACCTAATGAAATTGTTGAAATTTTATTAACATTAGACTAATAGGACCCTCTATCCTAAAACTAATATTTTCTCACCAAATATTTAAATCCCACGACCCTATTGTCTGATAAAGATACAAGAAATGTTTTAAAGCTATTTAAATAATTAATATGTATAAATATTTTGTATGTGAGACATGACAATATCCTTTTAATATCTTTCTGGTCACATGATTTATCAATAAATGAAATGTATCAGTTGATGGGATCCTATATCACCTTAGCTATCAGTCAATAGTCATGTATATTGCCCTGTCGTAAAGTCATGAGAAAATTTCTCAATACAATAGCCCTCTCAAGTTCCTCTCAGTACATGTATCAAATCAAATGTGCATAAAGATCAGCTAAACACAATGCTTAATTTAAATCGCCCTGCCTTTTCATACTTATGTCTCCTAACTTTTTCTTAACAAAAAAATAAAATAACTTAAATTGTTTCTAGTTTCACAAGGCGTATAATTTCTTGTGTACTCACACAAACTTTGCTTCATTGTGCTGTTCAGTTATAAAATTGAAAAATTCTAGCAGATGATGATAAGCTGTAAAGATTTTAAGCTTTAGCTAGGACATAAAACATTACACTTTTATATCCTCTACCCACTGCTCCAGAGAAGCAATGTCATAATTATTATTGCATTATACTTTAAACAAATGTGTTGTATAGTCAAACTTATCAATAGACTGGATTCATCAGGGAACAGGATAAGAAAAGTTTGGCAAGTCTAACCACTTATTTCTAGGCCTCTTAATATTGATTTTTTCATAGAAAATGTATGGTTCTTTCAATTATAAAGTTCCCATGAGACAACTAGATGAGTCTTATAGTCAATTTTATACCTAGGACTCAGAGAAATGGATCTCAATTTTATGCCTAGAACTAAGAAATGCGTCTTGATTTTATACCTAGGACTGAGAAATGTGTTTCAATTTTATACCTAGGACTGAGAAATGCTATATCATTATACTATAACACTTGCTATCCTGCAATCTAACCTTCCTATAACATGTTGTAATCTAATTAAATAGCTGTCTTCATTTAATTCTTGTCTTTCATCTCAAATACTTATAACAATAGAAGAACAGTAGAGGTTAATAATAAAATTCCACAAAAATGATGTCTCATGGGAATTATTCAATATAGAATTAAAATAAATAACTTTTTCGGTGATAACAAATAATAATTATTTATGATACATTAGTAAAGTTCAATAAGAATACATTCCTGGGTGTTGTCTATGTAAAAAAAATAATATTCCACCTTAAAAAGCACAGATAATAAACAATTCTAACTTCTTTTTACACACATGTCTACTGACTGACAGCTGCAATCAGTTAAAACAGTATGTCCTTCTAACAGAAGTGGCTTTTAAGAAGCTGTGCTTTAATAACCATATATACAAATTGTGTTTTTCAGGTAGTACGATTAAATCTGTGAACTCCTGTCTTCCTCCTGCTCAAAATACATTTAACATTCAATGTGGACGTGGATTTATGGTGCGGATAACTAAATCATTTTATGGATATAATTCTCGTGGACAATGTGGTTACCAGCTAGGAGACTGTATATACGAGGACCATGAGCGACATTCATGTGTTGGTCAGGAATCGTGTACTTTACCCATTCCAGCTAGTAATGACTATATTCCAGAATGTCAGAAAGATAGCAGCTATTATCAGATAGATTATCAATGTGTTCCTGGTAAGTCTATAGGCTACCGAGGGCAAGTCATGAGGGGAGGGGTACCTTTGACAAAATTTATCATTAGATTATGAATATATGTTCCAAGTAAGTCTGTTGCCTAGTGGTGGCAAGTCATAAAAGGAGGGAGAAAATTATTTATTTAATTGAATAAATTTGTTATCTAAAAGGGGCAGTTCAAATTACAATCAATTAGCAAACATGTTAAGTTTTTGGTTATTTTTGACTTTGAATATATATTCTCTGTGCTATGAAAAAGAGCCAGATTTAAGCAGTGTAGAACAAAAGCTCATAAAAAAGAAAGCCAGCTAGATCTTGGAACTGTAGGTGTATGCAAAATCTAAAACTTAAGTATAAATTATGCGAAAAATAGCATGGCCAATGTGCTGCAAAAGCATTAGAATTCTAAGTGCTAAAACCAAATGAACCTTTAACTATGAAATCAATACAATAAATGATGCAGATGAGCCTAACAACAGATCATGATAAAGCCAGCATCACACCATGTAATGTATCTCCCTATCTCACTAAAAATAACCTGGGAGGAAAAATTTATAACAGTACTCCATGGGGGTAATTATGGCTGGAGGTATTTTGTCTTCCGTCTATAATTAATATCAGAAAACATGAATTCCTGTAGACAAGATAGTAAAATTTGTATATATCTTTTCAAATCAAAGAAGTCTAGTTAACACACTTATTTCTGTATGATTATTTAAAGTTTCTATCTTGAAGTTACATAATTCAATGCATTAGGCTGGCTTTTTGCAAGAAAAGATATTTTGATATTTTGAAATTTTTGCTTAGAAAGTTTTTAATTTAAATGCCAGCCAAAATGATAACAAAGTTATGAAGATTACAAGTCATCTTATTATTATTAAGGCCATAAACAAATATTCCTAGATTCTCATTTAAACTTTTTTAACAATTTTGTTTGATGGTGGTGGGGGATTGGGATTTTTTACATTTTTTTTTATGAAAACTACTTGCATAAAAATAGTTAAAAGCCAGAAATCAAATTCCTAAAAATTGGGGCAAAGGGAATAGAATATAGTAATTTTTTGTATCAAGTTGTAAGAAATTAAACCCTTTTCCCATAACTGGAATAATTGATCACACATTAACATCTAATGAAATAATGCCACGATTGACCACAGTCATAATTAACAATAGACTCATACATATAAAAGTCATAACGGTTTAAATAGAAAAACCACAACTTTATTAGGAATATAAAAATTCATAAGCTTATTCTTTATGGCTGATTTACTATGGCTTATTGACATATGTTACACCAAAATATCCTATTTACTATTACTACTACAAAACTTTCAAAACAAACAATTATTCTAACATCGTTAAAACTTTCTGATAAAAAAGTACATTAATTATCATTGCATTGAACTGAACTTCACTGAAGTTTTGTTCTTCAAAAGAATTTAATTTAAATTCTTATTCAAATAAATTTGAAATGTTTTCCCTCCCAATTCTTTAGCAGACGACAACAACAAATAAGAGCTCCATCTGTCTTCTGGGGACAGCAGATGTCCTTTTTGTGTAGCAGATGTAGAGTGTTAAAAGTTATATAGCAATGTTCTGAATTCAAATGTGACCTAATTTTAACAAATAATCTTATATTATGCTAATTATATAGTAAAGTAGCAATGTTTTTTTTTTCTTTTTGTGTTTTTCCCTCTTTTCCAACTTTCATCCTTGAACTGTATTGACTAAAATGTTAACATTATAGCAATTATTTGTAAAAAGGTAAACAATAAATTTTATTTCTGGATAACAAATACATGTATAGGGGAAAACAAATTTCATCAGACATAAGTGCCTGTGTATCAGAAGCTTTTCTACGGATACATTTTCTGATTTTTATCAAAGTAAATAAATTCATGTTTGAATTATGCATGCATTAGACTGAAATTGGAAGTCTTATTTCTAATGATTTATTAAACAAGTTAGTAATTTATACTCCATAAACTTTGAACATTTATTAAACTAGAGTAGTCAGATCACCTGGACACACCTGTTCTCAATTATCTATGATCTGTACTATCAAAATTCTAACAAAGATAAAATCATAGGTGCAAGACTATAATATTAAACTTTGGGGACAAGACATATAATATTGGGTGCAAATTTGAAGATTTAGTAAATTTAGGACATTTAAAAAATTTTTTTTAGAAGTTTTTTTTTCGTTTGGTACTGTATATATCTGGATATATTGTCCTTTACAATCAACTTCAAATTTTATTTGCTACATTGCTTATATATTAAAGTTGAAGTGATCACATTGTTTAACCTAAAATTACATAGTTTGCCCAGTGGCAAATATTTCAAAACAAATTATTTCTTGTTTCAGCTGCTGAGTCGTACAATATCTGTGATACTCCATTAGTAACAGAACAGAGAGGGTACATTAAAACACCAAACTATCCTAATAACTATGGGTTTAACCACCACTGTATCACAAATATAAGAGTCGAAAAATACCAAACGGTCAAGTTACATGTGATCGACATGGATCTGGAGAGTAATGGAAGTTATGGGTGTATCGACTGGATGTATGCCAAGGATGGACGGAGGAGTGTTACGTTATGTGGGAGACGGTGGAATGAACCGTTGGTTATGTCATCTAATGAGTTACTGATCCAACTAAATACCAACAGTATCAGTAACCATAAAGGATTCTGGCTTTATTTTGAAGGTAACTACATGTTTTAACTTGAATCAATCAAAGAAAATACTGTAAATAGTAACAATAATATGTAATGATACTGGACTAGTTAAAACCCTGTAGGTCATCAGTAGTGGCAGCAACCCAGTAATAGAAATAAAGCTTATCAGAATTTTTCTCTAATGTAATTGTCAATAGATATAAGACAGATGTTTACTACTTGTTAACTTGCCCTCTAGATGTCCTTTAATTATTTTTGTGTAGGGTTACAACTCCTTTGTATACTCACTTTTGTATTGTAGGGTTCCTGACTCATTTGAAATTAACCAAAGTATAAAATTCATTTAGAACATTACATTGTGTAGGATATTTGGGATAACAATTGTTCATCTTGTGACTTTCTGCATCTTTCAGCCACGCCTCCCATTACAACAACAACCAAAGAACCCACAACCTCTATACAGCAGAAAACATCAGCACCGCTCCATCTTAAAGAACAAACCATACCAATCAGGATTAACCCACAGTACACAGAACCAGAAAATAAACTACCTTTTGGTAAGTATACTTAAAAGAAATCACAGCAACAGATGGAAAGGGAAATACAGTTGGTATTTAAGAGATAGGGGCGTATTTGAAGGGATACCACTACCTGATGTTGGTGGTTCTCTAGGTTTCATGCTTCTTCAGAAAAAAAAATAACTGCAATTAAAGAGTAATAGGCATTGAAGGTGGCATTAAACACTAACAAATAAATCAAACAAAAATATAAGAAAAGAATGAATCTGATGGCTACCGGCACCGGATTCTAGACAATGATATGGAAAAATAAGACACCATTGTTGGTAGGAATTTATCAGAGTTAGTTATGAAAGTGTGTTCTAAGACAGCTAAATAACAGATTTTAAATTAAATCGCTGTACCCGTATATTAATAATCAAAAGAGATGGCTCGTCTTCCTAGCAAAGCTACCTTCAACTTACTGAGGCATATAACTAGTTAGAATCTAAAATCTACCAACTATGATTTATTTTTTAGACTAACCCTTTACTGTCTACTTATCATAGATTCAATATTTTTCCTCATGATTAGTCAGATAGAAAAATCAAGATTTGTTTTATCAATAAACCTCAAACTGTGATAATAAAAAAAGTTAAGAGTCCTGCTTGGCTAGCCTGCTTGATTCAATATTTCATACAAACAGTATCTGAAAGCATAAGACTGATTATCTTTCATTTATAATTCTTTAAGTACATTATACTATACTTCCATGGCATATGTATCAAATTTTATAAACAAAATAAATCAGTGCCCACTAGAACTGATACAGAATATAATTTTTCATTATTACTGTGAATCAATTTTTTTGGGGGGGAAGGGGCCTTTCAAACTAAATGTCTATGTTCTGTTCTAAAACAACACATATTTTTTTTACCTGAAAATTTACAAACGCCCTTATTACTCGAAAATTAAAAAAAAATTAAATAGGTTAGTTCAATATCTGAACTATGAGAAAGGATAACAACACAGTCTTAACAAATGGATGCACTATCTGTCTACAGCGGTCTACAGCTGTACAATCTAATACCAGCAGAAATTTTAATTAAAGATAAAAATAAACATGTCAAAGTGTGCCTGTATCTAAATATAAACATTGACAGATGTTAAAACGATCAGGGTACTTTTGTTTTCTGAACTGTATATCCCATTACTGGCATGTTTGATACATTTGATTAGAAAATGATGGTAGCATTGAGTAAATCATTGGACATCAGCCTAATTGTACTATTTTTCATCATTTTATATCATCAATTATTATATAAAGTTATATTTCCTACAATCTTGAACTCAATGCAACAGTAAACAAAGAAACAAGTAGTTCTTCTATTAAAAAAGGTCAAAATATACTCTTCAGAGTTTTATAATAATATTTTGTCACATACTAAACACAAGGCCATACTACAGTTAAAGTTGTAGTACTTAATTTCACCCCCTTCCTTTAGTGTATTTCTTATTTTGATTGTGTATGACTTGGTTTTGTATACCACTTTGAAATTTTGGAATAGTCTTGACATTATTTGTATTATCCATATTTTTAAAATATTTTATAAACAATTATGAATTAATTTTCCTTTGTTTTTTTTAGCGGAGATAGTCGGAGGGGTAATAGGTACATTAAGCTTGATACTGGTAATACTTCTGGTCTTACTGGCAGTAAAATGGTATAAAGAGAGACGGAGACGGGACAACAAAAATAGATTTATGGAAGTACAGAATCCTGCCTACAGAAACAGTACAGAATTCAGACAAAGTCGGACGGAACCTTGTTACAACTATATGGATGTGTAGCATCTAAAAGCTTTTACATCAATTGCTTAATCTCAATCAAAATAAACATTCATGTGATCTCCAAAAAATGGCAGATTGTTGTTTTTGAAAACATTAGAAGTATTCCAAACGAAAGATAAACAATGAAGAAAGATTCTTGGCAAAAGAAGAAGAATATTTGAGTAGAATGTAGATATAAATATTATGGGATGTCGTAGTACTATGATAGTAACAGATTTAGATACTAAGCTGGGATACCGTGCCAGAAATTTAAACGTCATAGATAAACATATGTTTATAAATATATTTGTCAAAACATTTGTTGGCACAATTTGTGAAAAGTGCCTTAATGATTCTTCAAGTGCAATATAGATGATGAGGTTGTTGTCATGTAGCTGATGAGGTTGTTGTCAGGGAGAAGAACTTTGTAGAGGACAATATACTTTAATATAGTAACTTTATAAAAAGAAAAATGTAACAAATCAAACTTTATATTCATTTACTTTGAACAAGAATTGTACAAAATAAGAAAAAGCAATGTAATTCATCATATAACAAAAAAAATGTTCAGGTTACAAAACATAATTTTATTTGCATTTAATTCTCTAGAAGTCATAACTTTAAGTTTTTAAAGAAATCATAATGCTACTGCAACATTTTAATTTTGCTGAACAGACTCAAAAAGTTTTTCTTTAGTATGTATTTTTACATTTGGCCTTATTAATATATCTTTGTCATAGAACAATATGACCATATATTAGGTTATTTATACATCTGGTTTTGAATGTGATTTTGACCCAAGAAGGAGCAGTTTAATCTTTCAACAGTTCGTTGTCTTGTTACACAACCATGTACAATGCATTTAAATTTTGCATTAAAATATACTGTGAAAAATAGTGATAAAGAGACACATGCGAAAATTTCCAAATATATATGATATGAGTATATGTGCAATGTAAACTATACCACAAGTCAGTAGAAACTTGTTATTAATCTGTGATATGTGCCAATATTTGGACACACTCAATATGTTAGTGCAATATTGTCATTGTTATATATTTCATGTCTTAAGTTATGGCTATTCTTGGTTTCCATATTTGCTATTCATCCTATTTCATAAGTTATGACCCATATTGCTTACCATACTCTTGTTATTTATGTGTCATAACTCACTCTCATACTTCGTGCACTCATAGACTGATGTAAATAATTCCTAAATTAAATTATGTCCCTAATTGTTTTTCATACATTGTTAATCATATCATTATTTATGTCTGACATTGCTTTCCATACATTTTTGTCTGCATTCTGTTTTGTTCCTCATTTTCTGTATGTTTAAGTTGTGCTAATTTCTATTTCATTAAATTATCATTAAATTAATTATAATAATTTGATGTAGTTCGTGTTCTTTACAAAGCTTTGGCAATGGCATGTGTTTCTGCTTAATATCCTACAGACTTATTTTTAGAGCTTATACAATTAAAAAAAATACATGTAGTCATGCACATAGCATGGATATCACAGATACAGCTTGAGAGAAAGTCAATCAAGGTACCATTCCAACTGCAGTCAATAATAACCAACACTTATGATTGTTTCAATAAATAGAATTTTTACAGAAACATAGGTTTAAATTTTCAGTGTTGATGTGTTGCCTTTATAAGCAGCTGTGTATTTCAAATAAGAAATCTTTGAAGGTATATGGTCTTAATTTGTTCAAATACACTCATACAATTACCTTCAGCTTAAACAAAAAAAATCATTGCCATGCATACTTGACAAAAAAAAAAATTGAAACATTTACTGGACTTTCAAAAAATTATTTCAAGACTTAAAAATACATATTATATTTTTCTCAATATGACTAGTGACCCTCCATCTGAGCTGCTAAAATCAAAAATTTATACTTCCTTATTTTATCTTCAAGAAAAATTAAAATCTGACCAAGCAGTCTGAATAAGAAAATGATTAAACTACAAAAGCAAAAACAACAACACGAACAAAGTTCAGGTCAGTATTGTTCTGGATCTGTCTGCAACTCATAGAAAAAAGTAAAACAATTTTCAACTGGACATGAGGATGGATGTGACAGCAAAGTAAAATCATCAGTCAAAAATAATGAAACAAAAACAAAACATATTCCATGTACATCTATATAAAATCTTAACCTTCTACATAATCAATAAATCATTTCATATCAGAGCTCACATCTAGCAAATTGTACAGAATGTAAGACAGTATGGATGTGACATTTTTCTTTTTATGGCTCTTTAAAAACTTCAATCCTAAAATGTCACAAAGATATAATGACAAAAGAATTTAGACCTACAATACAAAAACTTAATAATGATCCTATTCCCCATTAACAAGACTATTATTGGTCTTCCTCCTCATTACAGGAGGATCATTTTAATGCCGCTGTAGATCAGATTTATCCTTAACAATAAACACATTGTTATATACAGTTCTCACGAAAAATGTCTCATACAAATCTTATTTGAATACATAAATTACTTCTATTTTACAAACAGTAACTTCATTCAATCAAACAATGTGGAGATCATCACTGAGAAAGACACTCCAAACTTTCACTTTTTCCCACACTTGCCAAAAATTGAAATTTACCATTTATATACATATGATCAACATATGATTGATGATTGTTTGTAGGTGGAATTATCTGCTATTATTAAACGACTTCAGAGTCAACAAATATCATACGGTCTTCCCTGTTCCTATTATTTGTGACAAAATTGGTTCACATGGATTATTTAAACTGATCTTATCTTAGTATCACTAACACTTATGGAAGTCAACAAGGTGTTTAGTCCTGGCTAATCTACACAGAATAGGGACCATTTCATGTCGATTTCTATATATAAAGACTCTTTATCGTCAAATGTCAGCCAAATTGTAACATTTACTATTTCCTGTTAGGATTTGTGCAAGTGTACCACATATAGGAGAACAACAGCACAATATTTTATATGTTCAGCTTTTGAAATTTATATGAAAACCTTAAAAACAATAAAGAATGTATAGCTGAAAATCAAGTCCAGTTGAGCATTTTTAGAAATTATCTTTTTTAAGTATGAATAAAATAAGATAAGGTAGAGACAGCAACACAACAACACAACAATACAACAATACAAAACCTACAGACATCGAGTCCTTAACAATAGACAAGTGTCTACACAACATGTCAAGCACTCGAGTTTAATAAAATTGTGAAAAAACTTGTTTTATTTATAAATTATAATGTGCCTGGTGATAGAAAATCTAAATGAATGAAGTCAAATATCAATATGTTTAGTCTGTTGTCTGTTGTTAAAAAAACAAAGTTTATAATAATAATATCTTAGTGTAAAAACCTCTACCAGCTATTTTCTGTACCAGTTTGTAACAGTAAGATGAATACAGATTTTACAACCCTTTCAAAGTTATATTGTTTCCAGATAAAAGACAAACCAATCCAAGCAAACAAAGTATAATAAATATTTTATCTTTTTCCAATAAAAAAACCTGCTCGAGGACAATTTAAATCTCATCATCAATCATATCCAATGGACTCAATTTTACCATCATCAATTTGAGTGCATTTCCAGGCCATGTATTGATCAGTATGACTAAAAATACAAACTTTGTGCAACTGTCGGCAAACTATTGACCAATCTTTTATCATTCTCGTGATCAATTAAACAAATAGCCTCTAAATTGAACTATCAAAAGCATCGGCAGAATACAGATAGCCTGACTCAACAGCACAAAATTACTCATTTTCCAATTATTTTACAATATGTGTTCAAAGCATGAAATCAATCAATGATTAACAAATAATATAATTTTACAGAAACACTGACCCAACACACAAGGGTTGACGGGAATAAAAGGTTCTACACAATGTAATGCAGTCAGTATTTTGTATCTGTTAGCAGGCTTTTTTAGTCGTTAATACTGTAGAAAAACTTTGCTGTTAAGTATTGTCAGTTGAACATGTTAACTGACTTTGAACCCAAACAAGCACTTACTCCCTTAGACTTTTACAATGAGCAATGATCAGAGCAAAGGTATCTAGACATTAGAGAGTTTATTGTATTAGTTTACAATATGAAGGGCAGACTTATTTCAACACTATAAGTTATGCAAAGTATAGTTCCAGACCAAGTATCAAATCCTTCCTATATTCGGAAGCAAACTCATATATGAGAACAGAGGCGGATGCAGGATTTTAGGCTTGGGGGGGGGGGGGGGGGGGGGGGGGGGGGGGGGGGGGGGGGGGGGGGCGCAAACTTAAATTTTCGCCTAGCGGAGCGATGCAAAATTTGTTTTGAGGTAAAATTATCCAAATATTCTTTATTAAGCTGAGGACACCCCATGCTTTGTAAATTTTAGGTAGGGTGCACACCCCCGCCTGAATCCGCCCCTGGAGAAAAGTTATAAATAGGCAATTCTAACAAATAAAGTGTCAGAGCAAGGGAGAAAAGTTGTATCTTAAGAGCTTGGCGCAAAGGAGACTAATCTGATGATATCATAGAAAAGAAAGGATATGAGGTATCCATCCATGACACAAAATCAGTATATGCACGTCTAAAAACAGAAAAAGCAATGCATGGAAATTACCAAATAGCAACAGTGATGGTCTTTTAACTTAACATCCAAAGGAATTAACTAGCCGAGGGACTCACAACCAATAGCAAAAAACATAATAGCTGCTTACATCAAAACAACAACAAAAAATTGTTCTCTTAAATTTCAACAACAGTCACTTTTCTTAGAAGTTATCAAATAGTACAAACATTGGTTTGATCTTACTTCAAATACCATCATCTGTTGCCTGATTTATCAAACCAAGTAAGACAATCACAAGAGAATTGTAGGAAGATAGTATGATATACAATTATGTCTTAGTCGTCTGCTTCTGGATAGTACAAAATATATCAGAATTAACAATGTGAATGTCAAAATGTTTTGAAATTAAAAAAGTTAGGGTATCCATTGCAATGCCCTTATTTATACAATAAAAGCCCCTTTTTTTACACAGATTCCCTTCTGTCTGGCCTCTGATATCACAAAACCCTGATTATTTGAACAGCAAATCACTTGTAAAAATGTAAATGTTTATTTTGTCCATTTCCACAGATGTTCTATAAAGCAATCGTCATCTTTTGTCAATTCAGGATCTCACATGCTTATTTACAGATTAAATACAATTATCAACAGAAACACAGCTTAATGTTTGTCTTATTGATGTGGGACAGAGTGGAAATATCAACAAAGTTTTGTTGTATTACACGCTACAGTGTATTGATGTGGGACAGAATGGAAATATCAACAAAGTTTTGTTGTATTACATGCTACAGTGTATTGATGTTGTATTAAGCTACAAATATTATGTCTAGCGATGCTTTCTAAAAATTAAAGTTAAACAAACTGTCTACTTTAATATTAAGAAGCTTATATTATATGAAACAAAGTTCTGATTCAATTTCTCATGCATTTCAATTGACAGAAAACATCGCTATGATTCAGTTACAGTATTAATGAGAGCTAAGTATTATTTCGGTTAATATAGACTTAGAACCTATCTAAAGTTCTGAGCATCATTAAAGCTGATAGCTGATGGTCCACACTGCAAGCCGTTTTGAATCTCAGTGAGGTTAAAACATTTTCTTAAAGCCAAAGATCTCACTGTGATGTTAAGATGAGGAACAACTATAAAATAAAAACTGTGGTTCTTTGTTTTAGGCTTTGACAAGTGGTTATTTATGTAGTGATTTGAAATATATAAATAAGAAGTTGTGGTATGAGACAACATCCATTAGAGACCAAATAGGTAAAAGTTAGTAACTATAGTTCACTGAAAGGCCTTCAACAATGAGCAAAACCCATACCGCATACCAAGCTATAAAATAGCATCTTTATTTTTAGTGAAGTCATATTGTGAATCTGTCGTGTTTAAGTTTACAACAAGAATTGCCTTTGACTGTCATGTGTTGACTCAAATGAATCAGGGTGTATGGTGTGTAGCAAAGGCCTTTTCATCTTTATGTATATGTTTCTATATGACTACAATCTGACACAGAACTAAAAAATTTAATTAAAATTGTCAAAGCTCCAGAAAAAGACTTAGAATGCAAAAATCATAAAAGAGTTGTTTTGATATAATATGATACTTGTATTTCAATTAAAAAAAAAGATTGCAAATGAGACAATTATCCATCAGAGACCAATGGACAATGATGTAAACCACTACTAGATATACAATACAAAGGGCAGGGTAATGAGACAACTATCCATCAGAGACCAATGGTCAATGATGTTAACCTCTACTAGATATACAATACAAAAGGCAGGGTAATGAGACAACTATCCAACAGAGACCAATGGTCAATGATGTTAACCTCTACTAGATATACAATACAAAAGGCAGGGTAATGAGACAACTATCCATCAGAGAAAAATGGTCAATGATGTTAACCTCTACTAGATATACAATACAAAAGGCAGGGTAATGAGACAACTATCCATCAGAGACCAATGGACAATGATCTAAACCACTACTAGATATACAGTACAAAAGGCAGGCTAATGTGACAACTATCCATCAGAGACCAATGGACAATGATGTAAACCACTACTAGATATACAATACAAAAGGCAGGGTAATGAGACAACTATCCATCAGAGACCAATGGACAATGATCTAAACCACTACTAGATATACAATACAAAAGGCAGGGTAATGAGACAACTATCCATCAGAGACCAATGGACAATGATGTAAACCACTACTAGATATACAATACAAAAGGCAGGGTAATGAGACAACTATCCATCAGAGACCAATGGACAATGATCTAAACCACTACTAGATATACAGTACAAAAGGCAGGCTAATGTAACTATCTATCAGAGACCAATGGACAATGATGTAAACCACTACTAGATATACAATACAAAAGGCAGGGTAATATGACAACTATCCATCAGAGACCAATGGACAATGATGTAAACCACTACTAGATATACAATACAAAAGGCAGGGTAATGAGACAACTATCCATCAGAGACCAATGGACAATGATGTAAACCACTACTAGATATACAATACAAAAGGCAGGGTAATGAGACAACTATCCAACAGAGACTAATGGACAATGATGTTAATCACTACTAGATATACAATACATAAGGCAGGGTAATGAGACAACTATCCATCAGAGACCAATGGACAATGATGTTAACCTCTACTAGATATACAATACAAAAGGCAAGGTAATGAGACAACTATCCATCAGAGACCAATGGACAATGATGTAAACCACTACTAGATATACAATACAAAAGGCAGGGTAATGAGACAACTATCCATCAGAGACCAATGGACAATGATGTAAACCACTACTAGATATACAATACAAAAGGCAGGGTAATATGACAACTATCCATCAGAGACCAATTGACAATGATGTAAACCACTACTAGATATACAGTACAAAAGGCTGGGTAATGGGACAACTATCCATCAGGAGACCAATGGACAATGATGTAAACCACTACTAGATATACAATACAAAAGGCAGGGTAATGAGACAACTATCCATCAGAGACCAATTGACAATGATGTAAACCACTACTAGATATACAATACAAAAAGCAGGGCTACTATGACCATATTTGCCCTGGTTCATTTTCAATGCCAATATCATCAATACACAGAAAAAACATGTCACCTGAGGCAAGCTCTTTTTCAATGATTATGGATAAATTGCTGTTTTCATTACTGCATGCAAACCTATGGTCACCCTAGGCTTTTAAATGTAATATTACACTTCTATAGGATACATCTATTAATTGAATGTTCCGTCACCCTTGGCTTTTAAAGGTAATAGTACACTTCTATAGGATACATCTATTAATTGAATGAGCTGTTGTAAATTATTCATTAAGTTTATATTTTATGGGAGGATATTCTTTTCTAACTTACAAAAAATCTGCAGTTTTTATTTTCATCTGTTTTATTTATTAGTTTTCTCTCTTAATTACTTGAAGAATGGATATCTGTTCATTTCACTTCAATCACATTAACTGATCAATTTCAGTCCAGTGTCAGATTCATCAGAAAATTAATCATATCACAAATTCATTAAAATTGAGATTCTGATTGATGGTGATGCTAGCTTAAGGGAACATTAATCCTATACATAGTGTATTAATTGTGGAACTTCTGTGTACGAGGGACAAATCTGCTGTTTATTTAGGGGCAATACTTTGTAAAATCTGCTAAATGAAATCTTTATATTTTGTATCTAAAAGAAATTGATACTATACAAAAATGAGAAATACTATTCAATTTTTAATGATTTTTATTCTGTTCACAGAAATGATCCATGAATCTACATTAACTTTCAGTAATAAAAATGTATCTGATATATTTTCTTAAATTACTAAGAGTTACCTCCCATTGACAAACCATCTCCACATTGGGTAGTTCAAGTAGTTTTGGTATTATACACATGTTTCCAGATAGAGACTTGAAAATCACAAATTTATGCCAGAAGAAATCTTAATACAAATACAATTATTGTAAACCAAACTGATCTATATATAAATTCATAGTTACTGAAGATATATTTGCATAGTCCAAAATAACAATAGGGATTTACTTATTCCATAATCTCACTAAATCACAACTTTTTGTGACTTTTCTTGTTATTAAATGGATCATTATTTCACAGAACAAGATTATCAAATACACACAATTACAACAGATCCTGGGGCAGGTTTATGAATATTTTCAAATCCAGATCAAATTAATATGTTGTCTAGTTCTCTGAAGCTTTATCCTCATTTAATTTTCAAGAACTAGTTCAAAGTGATGAATTATAAGTCCATCTTTTGACTTATGAAGACTTCCAGTATCTATCAAACAGGTCCAAGTAATGAATGATAAGTCCATCTTTTGACTTATTAAGACTTCCAGTATCTATCAAACAGGTCCAAGTAATGAATGATACATCATCTCTGAACCAGGGGCATTACAGTCAGAGTTGGCAAGTCAGTGATCATATGTCTGTCAACACTGAAATTGTAGTTTCAAATGAAGAGATCACACAGTAGTCTCATTATGAAAATGTTATCTTTTCATGTGATCTTACCTTAAAATATCACCTATTTCATTCAAATGTTAATCTATACTAATATGCAATCATTGCCAGTCTCCTCAATCAGAGGGGTACATATATGATTTAAATGTTAGTCTATACTAACATACAATCATTGCCACTCTCCTCAATCAGAGGGGTACATATATGATTCAAATGTTAGTCTATACTAATATACAATCATAGCCAGTCTCCTCAATCAGAGAGGTACATATATGATTCAAATGTTAGTCTATACTAATATACAATCATAGCCAGTCTCCTCAATCAGAGAGGTACATATATGATTCAAATGTTAGTCTATACTAATATACAATCATAGCCAGTCTCCTCAATCAGAAGGGTACATATATGATTTAAATGTTAGTCTATACTAATATACAATCATAGCCACTCTCCTCAATCAGAGGGGTACATATTTGATTTAAATGCTAATCTATACTAATATACACTCATTGCCAGTCTCCTCAATCAGAGGGGTACATATTTGATTTAAATGTTAGTCTATACTAATATACACTCATTGCCAGTCTCCTCAATCAGAGGGGTACATACATGATTTAAATGTTAGTCTATACTAATATACAATCATTGCCAGTCTCCTCAATCAGAGGGGTACATATATGATTTAAATGTTAGTCTATACTAATATACAATCATAGCCACTCTCCTCAATCAGAGGGGTACATATTTGATTTAAATGTTAGTCTATACTAATATACACTCATTGCCAGTCACCTCAATCAGAGGGGTACATATATGATTTAAATGTTAGTCTATACTTATATACACTCATTGCCAGTCTCCTCAATCAGAGGGGTACATATATGATTTAAATGTTAGTCTATACTAATATACAATCATAGCCACTCTCCTCAATCAGAGGGGTACATATTTGATTTAAATGTTAGTCTATACTAATATACACTCATTGCCAGTCACCTCAATCAGAGGGGTACATATATGATTTAAATGTTAGTCTATACTTATATACACTCATTGCCAGTCTCCTCAATCAGAGGGGTACATATATGATTTAAATGTTAGTCTATACTAATATACAATCATAGCCACTCTCCTCAATCAGAGGGGTACATATTTGATTTAAATGCTAATCTATACTAATATACACTCATTGCCAGTCTCCTCAATCAGAGGGGTACATATATGATTTAAATGTTAGTCTATACTAATATACAATCATAGCCACTCTCCTCAATCAGAGGGGTACATATTTGATTTAAATGCTAATCTATACTAATATGCACTCATTGCCAGTCACCTCAATCAGAGGGGTACATATTTGATTTAAATGCTAATCTATACTAATATACAATCATTGCCAGTCACCTCAATCAGAGGGGTACATATTTGATTTAAATGCTAATCTATACTAATATGCACTCATTGCCAGTCACCTCAATCAGAGGGGTACATATTTGATTTAAATGCTAATCTATACTAATATACACTCATTGCCAGTCACCTCAATCAGAGGGGTACATATTTGATTTAAATGCTAATCTATACTAATATGCACTCATTGCCAGTCACCTCAATCAGAGGGGTACATATTTGATTTAAAAGCTAATCTATACTAATATACACTCATTGCCAGTCACCTCAATCAGAGGGGTACATATTTGATTTAAATGCTAATCTATACTAATATGCACTCATTGCCAGTCACCTCAATCAGAGGGGTACATATTTGATTTAAATGCTAATCTATACTAATATGCACTCATTGCCAGTCACCTCAATCAGAGGGGTACATATTTGATTTAAATGCTAGTCTACAACGCATTTCAAAAATTGGATCAAATTGTCCCAACCAATTATGAAATAAAAAGGTTCATCTTATTTAGAAGTTATGGTCCCTGCACCAATCAGCATTTACCTTGGGTTCATCACTAGTCTCCTAAAGAAATAGATCTATGTAATATAGTCCATGGTATCTTGTTTAGAAGTGATGGTTCCTGCACCAATCAGCACTTACCTTGGGTTCATCACTAGTCTCCTAAAGAAATAGGTCCATGTAATATATATAGTCCATGGCATCTTGTTTAGAAGTGATGGTTCCTGCACCAATCAGCACCAGCACTTACCTTGGGTTCATCACTAGTCTCCTAAAGAAATAGGTCCATGTAATATAGTCCATGGCATCTTGTTTAGAGGTGATGGTCCCTGCTACTATCTCAGCATTCAAGTGGTCTGGTAATACTTCTAACAGACTTAAATAATACAAAACAATTCATAATTAATAATCCATATACATTAATTACTTCCCACTTATTCTGTATATTCTGACTTTAGATCTTATAAACAATTAAAACTACAAGCAGGCTAGACACTTTAGTGTGTGATTTTGTTATGTTGTTAGGTTGGTGTCTTTTCAATAATAATGTTAAACCAGACAACTTGAACCTTAGCAGATTTTATCTATGATAAAAATTTTACCTGTTTCATGCTAACAGCTTATTTGGGGATTTTTGCAAACTGTAGATAAATTTTAAATATTAAACTGCACTAGTCCATTTGATTAGCGACCTCAACAATCTGTCATTGAACAGCATTATATAACTAGGACATCTCTATTTTACACTGTACTTTATAGATGATGTTATGTAGATGAGCTTTTGTCACTGAGGTCCACATTCACTGAGTTCTCTCCCTTTTTAATATGTTAAGTACAATGAAGTATGATGTTGTTGTTTTTTCTGATACATTGACAGTTAGCATGGACACTATTAGTTTTCTGATACATTGACAGTTAGCATGGACACTATTAGTTTTCTGATACATTGACAGTTAGCATGAACACTATTAGTTTTCATATATATTTGATAATGTTGAATTTTATCATGTGTGGCTAGTTCTGAGATCGTTTGCTGATAGTTTGAAATTGAACTATAAAGTCTCGCTATTTCATGTACAAATCTCTCCCCTAGAACACTAATTCATTTTCCTTACTTGGACTCCACTGGGAAAGGTTCATACAGAAATCTTTTATAGAAATGTTTCTTTATATCATGGACGAGTATAACAGCCTTTCCCTGGTCATCAAACTGAGGCCTGCCTGCTCTACCCATCATCTGTAATACATCTGAAAACATATCAAAAGTAAAATTCAAGTTAAGAACACCAGAGTTGTCTCCCATTCTTCAAGTTGACTTCTTCCATACAAGAATACTGTAACTTCTCCTTGATTAATATCATTCAAAATCAAACACTTTTAATCTCATTCACTCAATCATCCCTGATTTTGCATCATTAAAAATAATTTGTTGGGCAAATACAGAATATATACGGGCAGAAACAGGCAAAACTCTGGCAAAATAATATAAATGTTATTGATTTGTCATTATTCAGGTAAGCTTATGAACATATTTATCATTTTGATAAACTGAAATCGCTTTTATTTTAAAGTTATATTTCTGATTTGTTTGGTTTTTTTTAACCGTTGTTATTCTGCAGTTGACATTTGAACATCCAAGCTATAAATTGCATTTAACATTTTGTAGCTTTTTTAATATGGTACTTTTATTTTTAATCAGATTTATCTCTCTTTAGCCTTTACAGACTTAAGAAAGTTTTTTGGAGTGTAATAAAAAAAGATCAAAATCAGCAAAGTTTGGTCCTTTGCTATTTTGCTCTAGATAGTGAGGACTGAAATTCGGGACATTTTTTTCATTTGTTTTATTGTTTCTACACACAATTTTATGATATACTTTTTATATATCAATAACCTTTAAGCAGTCTAATATCAGATTGTCTTATTTATTATTTGCTTTTTGCATATTTCATTTTGATGGGGCGAAATAGGCAAATAAGAATGAAGAGTATTATATTTTGAAATTTGATGTCCCTTATATAGCTTGTTGTATGGTATAGGTTTTGTTCATGGTTAAATGATGTATGGTGACCAATGGTTACTTTCATCTACATCAGTTCGTCTCTGGTGGATAGCTGTCTCATTGGCAATCATACCACACTTTCATGTTTTTATAAATTATGAACTTTAAATGCTTTAATTATAGGCTCAACATTTCAGCTAAAACATTTCAAATTTGAAAATCAAAGACGCACCTTCATGAATCAAGCAACTATCATATTTTTGGTTTCCACATTTCCAATAATGATTCTATAATTTACCTGTAATAGGGAAGTCAACATATCTTCTGGTCTTCCCATCATAAAATTCTGTTCCTTTAACAACCACCAGGTGAGCAGGAAAATTTACTCCCCAAGCTAAAGTACTGGTGGCAATTAGCACCTGAAAAATACATTTTCAAACACAAAATTTACTCCCTATACTAAAGTATTCGTAGCTTTTAGCACCTAAAAAATACCATGTAAACTGTAAAATTTACTCCCATGCTTAGGTGCTTTAAGCTATTTAAGCCGTTTTTAGGTGGGGTTCCTGTTGCTCAATCTTTAGATTTATTTGTTGTGTTTTGTATACTGTTTGTCATTTTGGTCGTTTTTCATTTTTTGCCATGGCATTGTCAGTTTGTTTTCGACTTATGAGTTTGAATATCCCTTTGGTATCTTTCCCCTCTCTTTCACGATTTATTTGATTATTTAGCATAAAATCATTCAAAAATAATTCTCCTCGCTTGCTGAACGGTAAATAATCCATTTCATAGAACTGAATTGCGCCCCAACTTTCAAAAATCCTGGATCTGCCCCTGGCTACTATTTAAGTTTCATAAATACCAATAAAAGTTTGACAGTTATTGGTGACTAAAAAATCTTTAACCACAAACTGTAATTAAATGTTGATGGGCCAGTGTGGACAAAGAGGAATGTATGACTGCTATGCCTTAATAACTTAGGCCAGATAAAAAGCATGCTTGCTGGGTTGGAGTAAAATACTGTGAAAGTGGGTGATTACTGGTGACTGAAGATGATAACACACTGATCTACAAACCTTTCATATATTACATATGGAATATACAGAAAGGTTTCTATATCTGTCTCTATCTGTCATTTACAATTTTCAAGATTATAGACAAAAGTGCTACAGGTGGTGAATACTTGTCCTTATTCAATGACAGTAGCTCCTATAAGGAATCAAATGATGATTTCACAAGGTTGTCATGCTGATATATTTGTTGATCCTGTATTACTGATGAGTTTTTATGTTTATACAGTTTTAAGATAACAGGCAATAACTTTAAAAATCCGTCAAAAACTTTCATTACAGGTGAAGTATTCATGCATAATTGGGCAGTACTTTGGATTTCTAATGAAATTTGTTACTCATTTAAAACTTTTTCAAAAAAAAAAAGTAGCAGCATTTTCACTTCCAAAGATCAACTAGAAACTTTTGAAACAGATATATAACAAGCATTCTGAGAGTATTGCATGGCAATACATAGTCCCCTACCTGGTAAAAATTCATTATACTGGAACAAAAAGCTAACTTGTTCTATAATTTGTCATGGTGTAAACAAAAAGTAAATATCATGTCAATATCTTCAAGCATGACTAAAAACAGTGTGGAAAACTGATTATATGAGTGAATTTTTCAAGTCCAAGGACCATAACTCTGCACAAAATTATTAGACAGAAACAAAAATTTGAACTTGATCTGTTACTTGTCATGATAAAACTATATACCAATTATCAATCAATATCTTATAAGCATGATGAAAAAAACATTAGATATGATTTATAGTTCTCTAAATTAGATATGATGTAATACAGTGTATATCTATTTTCAAATTATAATCAAATATAATTAATAGTTCTAAATATTTTTTCTTTCAATTGTCACAAACTAATATAGATTTGTAACTTATCTATAAAATGTCAACAACTTTTATCTACACATTGTAATGTATTGAAATATATACATTAATAAAAATAGATTATTATCTAATTAAAGGATTTCTCTTCATAATTTTTTTTTATATATATAGCATTCAGAAAATTAGTTTATACTAAATAACAAACAAACCTGCCAAAAAATTCTTCAAATAATTTAACAAAGAATGTCTTTTAAAAAATGAGTTATCTCCCTTTGTACAGAAATATGGTTTAACATAGTACTCTAACATTAGATATGGTCCAGAGTTATGGTCCATAACTCTAGACTAAATCATCAGACCGGAACAAAATTCAAACTTGATCTATAACTTGTCATGCTAAAACTATATACCAAATATCAAATCAATATCTTCAAGAACGAAGAAAAAATGTGTGGAAAGCTGATTTGCCGGACTGACGGATGGACAGACGGACAGAGGGACAGACGGACAGACGGACAGACAGACAGAGTGCAAACCTAAAGTCCCCTACGACTTCGTCGGTAGCGGACTAATAAAGAGTTGTGCCATGAACGCATGATATGCCTGCCGCCTTTTTACCATTAAAGTTCCATTACTCTGCAATGTCATTTCAGAAATTTATAAAAAAACAATAAGGAACTTATTTCAATAGATACAAACAAGCCACCAAAGTGTCACAAAAACTGCTCAAAGCATTTTTGAGTTATTGTCCCGAAAAACTAGAATAGTTTGTTGGAAAACCATGAAATTAAATATCCATGAAAAATCCACCAAAATTGGTACCAACAAAAATAAATGAATCTCCAGTATATGGTTTACTAGTTAGGATTTAAATCATATTGAACATTTTCCAATGACAAGGTAAGGGATAACCCCTTGGGACTCATCCTATACTTCATTTGATTTGTCTTGCCATGTAGTACATTTTCCATTCTTTAGATTCTCTGTATCTCTGACAGTTTCTTTGTAATTTGAAAAATAATGTCCATAGGTGACCATTACCCTTGTAACCTTGTAAATTTATAAAGTAATATTTTCATTTTTTTTAGCACTTGGTCAATATTGTTGCTAGTGGACTATTTCTCCCTGAAGGTATCATATGCTCAGTAGTCAGTGCTTCGGTATTAATATAATTTATAACATACTTTTCTGAAGGTTTATGACCTTTCTGTAGGCCTGTGTATTACTAAATTTTCAAGGTGCAATAATATCAAAACAGGAAAAATATTGAATACAATAGACGTGCCATTTTGTTTATATGCCAAAAGGAAACATCATTCACAGCAAAAATAATTATTGTTTCATTGCATTTAACAGAAAATGAGGATTTTGTGTCAAATCAAGCCAAGATTTTTACAAAAAACCCACAGACTTTATTACAGAGATTAATCAGAACAAGAGTGCACATGCTGAAATGTCTTGCCTGCTTTACTTATGATTGAATTTATGTCGAAAATCTGTAATAAGAAGGTTTTAAAACAATTATCACATAAACCTAACATTATCAATGTTGTATGAAAATGAGGTCGATGTCAGATTAACCCTGCCAGATAGACACATACACCTTACAATCATTCCAAACACCATATACAGTTAACCTATTGCTTATAGTACCTGAGAAACAGATCATACCATAAAATCTTAACATTGAACAATGAACCATGAAAATAAGGTCATGGTAATATGAACCCTGCCAGAGAGACATGTACACCTTAAAATCATTACATACACCAAATACAATTGATCTATTGCTTATAGTATCTGATAAACTGACAAAACCATGAAAAATTATCATTGACCAATGAACCATGAAAATGAGGTCAAGGTCACATGAACCCTGCCAGACAGACTGTGAGACATGTACACCTTAAAATCTTGCCATTCACCAAATATAATTGACCTTTTTCTTATAGTATCTGAGAAATTGACCAAACCACAAAAACTTAACATTGTCCAATGACCCATAAAATGGAGGTCAAGGTCAGATGAAACCTGCCAATTAGACATGTACACCTAACAATCATTCCATACAAGAAATATAGTTGACATATTGCTTATAGTATCTAAGATATGATTTGACCATGTAACTTTTACCTTGATGACTGATCCATGAAATGAGACTAAGGTCAGGTGAACCCTACCTGACGAACATGTAGATGTTGCTAGGAACCCATATACCAAATATAGTTATTCTATTACTCATAATAAGTGAGTATTTCATTTAAGAAAAAAACATGTAACTTTTTTTAAAGCAGTCGCGACGTCACTGAACCATGAAAATCAGGACAATGGACATATGACAGACACAAAGTTGGTAACATAGGGTTTCTGCATACATGGTATGAAGCATCCAGGTCTACTACCTTCTGCAATATAAAGCTTTATACAAATAGTTTACGCTGCCATAGCCATCGGATTGTAATCCCTAGGTCTCGCATACTGCGACTTCCGTTGCAGGCTTGAGAAAAACCTTGTGCTGAGTCACTAAAGTTGAACGCACCCTAGAAGGTGTGCTGGAATAGGTCAATATTTGTACTTGTTTTATCTTATATCTTTATTTAAAATCTTCTTTAAGGGAAATCATTGCTAGCACTGCATGCAGTAATACCTTTTCTATTAATTATGAACCCAAAAGTAAAAAATAAAGGCTCAAGGGGAAAGGCTGTGGATTTTCTTTGAAATTTCCATGTTTAGCATTGAAACAATCCTTAAACTACATATTTGTTTGTGAATTTAGACATTATTTAGAAACTAAGGTTTCAACTCCCTCAGGCAAAGTTCAACTCAGACCTTTGATGCATCTGCTATTATTTTTGGGTCCCTTTTTGTCATATAACTCTTCTTGTGATTTGATACTTATACATCCATCGCTTTCAAATATTTGACTTTCAGTGTTCTTGAAAAAGGTAAAGTCCAAAAAAGTGTTTCAAAGTCAGCAGTTCATGACCAAGGGGTAGGGACCAGATGACCTCCATGGATATGAGATGTGTTAATGCTGAAACAATTTCACATCAAATATCATTGACTTAAACCATTAATGGTCCCCCTCAAACTGACCTAATCAGACACTTTAATGTTTAAACTAAACAAAAGTTTTAAAGTCAACAGATCATGACTGAGGGGGCAGGACCAAATAATTTCCAGGAAAAAGAGATGTGCAAATGCTTCTTAAACTGCATAACTCATATCAATGACTTACCTCAAGTTTGTAATTAGGTAATTTTATTATTGAAGCCTCCTTTAGAAGCAAGACAAACAAGAGGCTTATGAGAATAGACAGGGTAGATCTTTTCATTCTGATTTTCTTTGCCTATCAGATTTTCTCTATTTATAGTGGTTTTTAAGATGAAGAGACAAAACTGGCATTTAACCCCTATGTTCTGTTTTGAGCTATATAAAAATAAGGAGATATGATATGATTGCCAATGAGACAACTATCCACCAAAGTTAAAATGAAGTGGATTGAAGTAATAAAAGGCAA